TTAGTACACAGGTATTAGAACCAGGAAGGGGATTAAAATACAGAGAATATTTACATTCATTTAAACATTAATCCTTGCTTCATACCACTGGCAAAATGTTGCACAACTTATTTAACAGGACTCTTTAAAGAATCTGGAAAGTTTATTTTCACAGTAGATGATATAAAAATTCCAATTAGGGTAGACACATGGAAACGAAAACTGGCATCCTGTACCTTTAACAGTTGTGTTGAAGAGTAAATTCGGTAAGTACACTTCCTGATATGCTTTCTTCTACGAATGTGTTAAAGGTATAGGGGCCCCATAGTTCCAATTTTGACAACCATCTCACTCTTAATTTCTCACCCATCCCAGTTTTACCTCTAAACTTTCCTATGGAACTCCCCCTCTTTCTCCTTCCAGACTTCTCAGGGATGACTAACAGTGTAATCCTTTACATGTACATTTCGCCAGTGTCATGGATTCAGTGTGGCTTACTTAGCAGTAAAGAAATGCAGGATTGCAGCATCAGCCACTTAAGCATCTAATTGTATTTAATCGTTTTATCTTTTTTTGTATTTTAATTGTATTTTAATTGTTGTAAACCGCCCAGAGACCTTTGGGTGGAGTGGGTGGCACATAAGTTAGATAAATAAATAAATAAGTGAATGAAAGGGGAGAATATTTGATCACTAGTACTATATCCAGAAACTAACCTTGGGTTCTCAGGTGTTCTTGGGCTAAAACTCCCAGAAGTCTTCACCACAAGTTGTGCTGGCTAGGATTTCTGGGAGTCATAGTCTAAGAACATCTGTGGACCCAAGTTTGGGAACTACTGATCTAGAAGGTAAAGAACACAACTATGAACCCTCTATACACCCATATCTACTTTATGAGCCACCTGCAGCTTATACTAGATAGAAAGAACTTCATGTAGAGACAAAAATTCAAAACACTGCTACAAGCAATAGTTTGTTGCTAAGATTAGTGTCATTTTCAAGAACACATTTTTTAAAAAAACATCAGCAGTTCTTGGAAAACCCTATCAGAATCTGATTGCAGTTCTCATTTAAATGAAACTGGGTGTGTTTGAGTTACTTGATGCCAATGATCTGGGCTTTAGAACACAAAAACACACATCCAATAACGTGCATCAGTTTTTCAGAGACCACAAATTTCAGTGTTGTTTTTGCTACTCCATGGAAATGTTAAATGTTGCTTTGCCATTCTAGCAGTGTGCGTTTTTTGCAACAGTTGGCAGCTAGAATTCCTCTGAATGGATTCATGATCCTGACAGCTTAAGAACTGCATAGAACAGTTTTATAGAAAGTCTAACATTTTATATCAAAGCAAAGCAGTAAGTTAGCAGTACCCCTTGTACTTTACTAGGGCAGGATCTTGTTAGTAAATATAATCCCTGTCCTAATGACACATTTGAGCCTGCAGGAGTATGCCAATTAGGGTTAAGAAAGACTACTCCCTAAACTGGACAAGTTCTAGATTGTTATAAGATTTCACAAAAATGTGCCTTAATTTGATTAGGTTCTACAAGTTGTTCAGTAGATCTGTATCCTCCAGTCATTAGGAAATGCTACCCCATTTGGTTTCTTTACCAACTTTTAACCTTGTGTACCACCTCCTAAAATGTTCAATTTACCAAGTTCCTCCTTATGTGTGACAGATCCAGGTTTTATATTTTCAAACAACGGTTTGGTCATAACTTCCATCTTTGTCTCAGAAGCCCTAGATGTGATCAAAGATTTGCATTGTTTTTCATAATGCCTGGTTAACTTTGCAATTCCTTGTATTTTACCAACTAAACACAGACTTTATGGCTCCAATATCAAAGCCAATTTCTCCTATCCTAATTTTGCCTTCACTGAAACCAGAGGATAGAAATACTGTATCACTTTTTTTGGACTAGAATTGGGGGGGGGGTTAATAAGATTTTGGGAGTTCTAATCTAAAATAATAACATTTGTAAACTTTGGGACAAACTGATGAAGAGATATGTAAAGTCAAATGCTTGGCTGCCTAGTTGATATACGCCAATTGATCCAAATAATATTACTGTGGACTGTTGAGACCTGAAACAGCATACAATATCATGTTCTGAAGCATACAGATAAAACAACTTTTATTTGAAAAGGCATTCCCTGTTATATATGTATAACCTTCTGTAACAAAAGTTTGGATGGAGGTTTCCAATTTGCTCTTACATTGCCCACTGTCCCTTTCTCCTAAAATACATTTAAATAAAATGTGACCGATGTGGAAATAAAGCAGGAAAGAAACGGATTAAACAAGCCAAATAACTACACTGAATAAAAGGATCTACTCATCATTCAAATGAGGGGGTGGGTGAGGTCATACATCTTAAATCCCTAGATAACTGGCCTTTCTTATCTGCAAGGTTCACCAGTGTTTTGCAGATACTTCTGAAAGGCCACTTACAAATTCCCAGGCTCAAATTTAATTTAGGAAGTTAAGGATTTTATAAAATGGACTCCAGTCTAAGTTAATAATTGGGCTAGTTTTTAATGTGGTACAAAATTATTCTTCCAAATTTCAAGAAGGTTAGCGGTTAGTCTACTGCAATGAAAGTTATTATGAAACAGCATCTTTATTTAGGATCAACTAAAGGTGCCCAGCCCAGTGTGGAAGCATTCAAGATCTTCAGATCTCTTAATCATGCAAGAGCACAAAAAAGAGGAAGAGGGAGAGAGAGGGAGGGAGGGAGAGAGTAGCACAAAAAAAGAGGAAGAGGGAGAGGGAGGGAGGGAGGGAGAAAGATAAGAACAAACTGATTGACTCCAAAGCATGGGACAAATGTATTTAAATCTAGTTTTGCTGTATTCCATTTAAAGAAGCTGAGTCTAACACAGTACGCCAACATCTTCTTCATTGTCGTACACTCCATCATATTTATTTTGTTTTTGCATAAGAATGGTATACCCAGCACCATGAAATGTATTCATGTGAGTCGGGGGGCAGAGGGTCTAACGTGCAGGGGACCTGGATTCAAATCTTTGCTCAGCCATGGAAGTTCACAGAGATGGGTTAACTATGGCAAACCATTCCTTGAACACCTCGCACATGGAAGTTCATAGAGGCAGATTTGCGATAGTAAACCAGTCCTTGAACAGCACACACACCTACTAGAGTACAGTATCTGTAACTTAGAAGTGACTTAATGCTCCTTGAACACCTCACACATGGAAGTTCATAGAGGCAGTATCTGTAACTTAGAAGTGACTTAATGACATAACAGCAACACAGTCAAAAGAAGACACATAAAGTTTTGTTCGAAACTAGCAGATGCATACACCTGTGTGTATATATTCATATCACTGTAGAGAGAATACATATATTGATCTACATACTTGAGGTGTGTATGTAACTGCCAATTTAACACAATGAATCAGATAAAGTGTACAAAAGCCTATGCCACAATTTGATTGTCTTTAAGATGCAATACCATCATTAGATATGAAGTCATGAAATCAAATGTATAATTTTTATGCCCTACAACATGCACTGTGAAAAAGAAATCAGAGAATATGATTTAAGTGACAGAAATACACACAGTGTGGTCCCCATGCTAGTTTTTGTGTGCTGTCAAGGCACTTGTGATTTTGGATGACCCTATGAATTAATGACATCCAAAAGGTCTTCTTATCTAACAGCCCCCTCCAGTCTTTGCAAGCTGAAGCTGTGGCTTCCTTTACTGAGTTAATCAATTTCACCTTTGACCTTCCACTTTTTCTAACATATATAAATCAATTAACCCATCCAGACCATGCACTGATCCATCCTCAATCAGCGGAGCAGACTGAACACTTTACCCATAACCATCCAGCTTTTAACCCTCGTCCTAATGGGAGATTATTAGGAGGACCTAGTCCATCCGAAGCAATACGAAGTGGAATTTGCGCCCGTGGCTGGACCCTTCGGTACCTGGGAGAACGTTCACGTGTTCAGCCCACCCCATACTTCGACCAGCCACATCTGCCAAGACCCGTCGCAGCTCGTGCCACTAAGATACCCACAGCGAAAGACAACTGCCAGACCTGCCTGGGCAAGGCACGCCCGCACTGCAGAACCCTTCCGCGCTCTCACCAAACATCTCGCCTCAACAGACGCTCGCCTTTCAGCGGCTTTATCTACCACTCTAGCGGCCGCGAGCCAAAGCATTACACGAACCAGCCGCGCGTGGAGCCCGCTTGCATCCATTCGGAGCTTTTCCGTCGGCGAACTACTCGCGAGACACACCCGATCCCAATACGCTCCATCGCTGCAGCAAGTGCATTTTCAGAACTTGGGAAACACTTGGCGGAAGGAAGCCGTATTAGGCTATATACACACAGGACCCGTTGCTCTCCCTTCTTCCTCTTCTGCAGCACGAGCTGCTCCTGAGAGCGCAAGCTCCTTGCGGGCAGAGCCTCGTTTGCTCCTTCCAAAGAGCCGGCAAGGCGCTTCCTACTGACGGCGTGAGAGGAAAAGCCGACCGCAGCGCCCCCCGGCGCCCAATGACACGGCCCGTCTCTAAATCCTTAACGCCCGTTATGTCCCTGACGCGCCCCTTTCTCCCGGCACCCTAACGCGCGGGTCCCAAGGGCGCCACTAATTAAGGCCAGACATTGCCTTTTCAGTGAGCGGCTTTTCGGGCTGCAATCCAAGGCACTCTAACCTGGGAGGAAGCCCCCTTCAACCCGGCGAGATTTGCTCCAAGCAAACACGGCCCAGGTCCCCCTCAAGTCCGGTCTCCCCAGCCACCCACCGCCGCCGCCCTGGAGACCTGGCCGCCCCCTCGTCCTGCCCGCACAACCCAAACCGAATTCGAAGCGGCCTCGCAAAGCAGCGGCCCCCTCAGAGAAAAACCCCCGAGAGACGGCAGTTTCGCAGCGACGTCTTCCTGTCGCCTCTCTGGCTGCAGCACCCGGGGAAGGTCCCGCGGGCGGTAAGCGCGGACCCCTTTCCTGTCCCTGCGGCGTGAGCCCGGCTTGGCGGCTCTCACTCACCGCAGGTAGCTGCCCGTGGAGTGCTGGTTGTAATGCTCCGGCTGCGTGTGCCAAAACAGCATCTTTCGCGCTCTTCCTTGGCCAAACCGCCCCGGGAACCCAAAGCAAAATCCCTCGGCGAGGCAAGTGGCGACCCCGGTGCGCCAAGACGGCGGCGGCTGCGGCGGCAACGGCAGAGGCAGCCACAAGCACTCGGCGGCGAAAGCGACTCCGCGCGCTTTTATGGGTCAGCCGCGTGATTCGCCGCTTTGGCCGCTCCCAGGCGCTGAGGTCAGCCGCGGGGCTCGGCTCTTTCGCTCGGCTCCCCGCCCTCCCTGCCGCTCCACCCCGGCACCATGGGGCGGCGGTTGCCTGAGGCTCAGGTGGGGAAAGTGAGGAGGAGCCACCGAAGTGGAGCTTGCTTTGTGGTGGATTACCTGACGGAAAGAGAAGGAGCGTCCACAGAAGTGGAGTTGTGAGGGGAGAAGGGTTACCTCACAGAAATGGGGCGGCAGTCGTGCTGCAAGCTACCTCCTCCAAAAGTAACATCATCCCACTCCACCACCACCCTGCTTCCCACTGTTGGCGCCCTGGGTCCAGTTTATTAATTTACGAGTATTTTACAAAAGCCGCCTTCTCTTGTGGAGCTCCAGGGTAATCATTACGCTCGACCTATGAGGTGGTTTAGCCAAGTAAGAAGTTTTTCATGGCTGACCGAGAAGTTATAGGATCAATCTTTGAAGACGACTCCCAACCCTCTACTGGTTATAGCAGGCTAGCTCCTTAAATCACGGAATAAAACGATAATGCTGAATACATCCATAACTGAGCAAGTTCCATTGCCATACTGCTCTAACAGGAAGTTTTTCCTGATATTCAACCAAAATCTGACTTCCTGTAACGTGAACCCATCGTGCATGTCCTGCACTCTGGGATGATACAGAACAGATTTTTCCCTTCCTCTGTATAACAGTATTTCAAGTATTGGGAAAGTGCTACCATATCTCCCCTCAGTTTTTCATAAGAACTTAAGAGCCCTGCTGGATCAGGCTAAGGGCCCATCTAGTCCAGCTTCCTGTATCTTACAGTGGTCCCACCTCTGGGAGCACACACGACAACTAGATAGATACCTGTCTCCTGATATGCCCTCCCTTGCATCTGACATTTTGAGGTCTTCAAGGCTAAACATGCCCAGTTCTTTCAGTCTTTCCTCATAGGGTGTAGTTTCCAGCCCTCTGATCATCTTTGTTGCCCTCCTCTGAACTTGCTCTAGTTTGTCAGCATCCTTTTTGAAGTATGGTGTCCACAAATGCACACAGTACTCAATATGAGCCCTAACCAGTACCAAATATAGGAGAACTAGTACCTCACGAGATTTGGAAACTATACTTCTACTAATTCAGCCTAAAATAGCATATATATATATTTGTAGCCACATCATACTGTTGGCTCATATTCAGCTTCTGATCTATGATGATTCCAAGATCCTTCTCACTTGTAGTATTACTGAGCCAGTTATCCCCCCACCTTGTAACTGCATTTGGTTTCTTTTTCCTAGATGCAGTACTTTGCGCTTATCCCTGCTGAATTCCATTCTGTTGTTTTCGTCCCAGTCCTCAAGCCTATCCAGATAATTTTAAATTTTGTTTCTATCTTCCACCTAAATTAGCTATTCCACCTAATTTCCTGCCATCTGTAAATCTGATTAGCATTCCCTGCATCACCTGATTCAGACCATTAATAAAAATGTTGAAGAGCAGTGGGCCTAGGACTGAGCCCTGGGGTATCCCACTTGTTACCTCCTCTCAGTTTGAGAAGGAGCCATTAATCATCAACCCCTGTGTATGACTGTGTAGCCAGCTGTGTACCCACATGATAGTTGTTCTACCCAGCTGACACCTAGTTAGTTTAAGAATCAGAATATCATGGGGCATGTTGTCAAAAGCTTTGCTGAAGTCAAGATATATGATGTTTACAGCATTCCCCCTGTCTATGAGGGAAGTTTTGTTTGTTTGTTCAGTCGTTTAGTCGTGTCCGACTCTTCGTGACCCCATGGACCAGAGCACGCCAGGCCCTCCTATCTTCCACCGCCTCCCGGAGTTGTGTCAAATTCATGTTGGTTGCTTCGATGACACTGTCCAACCATCTCATCCTCAGTCGTCCCCTTCTCCTCTTGCCTTCACACTTTCCC